GCGTGGGCTTTGGGTGTACATTTCTTTTCATATATGTCTTACGACAACGGTTTCGGTGTTTCTGGTCAGCTTGCTTGGTCAGGGCCGTGCCCAGGTAACTGTGCCCTGTCTCCACTTATTTGAAATTGAAACCAGCGTTTACATGGTAAAGCACAGGTAAAACAGCCTGAAGTCCTTGTAGAATTCTCTCCAATTCAGTGACTCAGCGTCCCCAGCCAAACGTGCAATTTCATGCATTGCTGCGTTTGAGCTGGAACGTCTACATGGGGATTAGTTTTTTCTGGTCTGTAAATCCTCCGGTGGTGTTTGTTCCTTCCAATCCCAGCCTGTGCAGTAGATGGTGTGAATTCTCACCGAGTGGGGTGAGTTAACCCCCTTGTGACCCTTGCCCTGTGAAGTTTTCCTCAGCGATTTTGGCTGCTACTGTCAGGTCTGTAAAAAAGCTCCCGTCGACTGGCTACCGGTGATGCCAGCTGCAGCGGTGGAATGATTTACCCCAAAGCTTCTAACCTCAGCTCAAGGCCAAGCTGCTGGAAAACTGCAGGATTTAGTCTTGGCACCTTGTTGATGGGTGATCCTTTCTCAAGCCTAGGATTTGCAGCGTTTGAGTCTGAACTTGAACTTCCGTAGGTGACGCTCCTCAGGCCACATGGATGTTTGATTATGTTTGCGTTGGGACAAGCTGTGCTGGGACACTTCTTTCATATGCCGATCCGTGTGAGCATGAATCATCACATCCTTGTCTGTTTCACGCCCCTTCGCTACAGACTATCATTAAGGTTCATTCAGTTCATTCCATGACATGATGACACCATGCATAAGCTACGGATAAACCACTGCATTCCAAAGGCTATGGGTCGACTTCGTGGGCGTGGGGGGAAGGTTTGGGATCTGTCAAGGGCTAAGTAACGACTGGAGCATCATGGGTACACCCAGCCGGCATCGCCCAATGTAGTAGGCAGGTTCATAGGACTCTCGCCGTCTCAGCGGGAGTGTTTCACCTACCAAGGAGCGCGTGCCTGAAACCAGTGTAGCAGAACTCGACATCATAGAAAACAATATGCGTGGTGGGCTGGGGACGCAGATATCATCTTGTGACGCAAAGTTTGAGCACCACCCTCGGCTCTGAATTGTTGCGTAATCCTTACAATAAAGAGCATTTGCTCAACCTCAAACAAGCCTGTTCGAGCGCTCAGAATGGCTATGGTTCATGTCAATGTGGTGCAGGTACATGTTCGTTAGAGTTGCAAACAGTTGTAAACAACACTCAGGCCTCACTCCAGACTCGCGTCTCCGCATTGGCGGGCCAATGTACCCTTTCTCAGATCCTTTCAGCCAAGGGATTGCGGTAGCTGGTGGCCCTCTCAAATCTTGATGGATGTGACATTCAGCTTTCCGGTCATTGGCCATGCAGACCCAGCAAGGGTTGTCTGACTTTTCACTTGTACAGCCACTTTTCCTGTGCGTTTTCGCGTGGGAGATGAAAGCCAAAAGCACTTCTGCAGCGAAGGACCCCTTAGTCTGTGCTGCCTGCTTGTAGCACGAGGAAGAAGCCAGTGGCCACGACTATTCCATGGCACATGCTTCGTAGTTTGCCTGTCTCATTTCCAGGCGAAAATTCACAGGAGCAGGAAATGCAGCATCTGCTGAGCGCCTCGGGCCAGCAAACCGGGGCCGACCATGCAGTTCGAAGGAATTTGTGAATTCCCCGTAGGACATGTATGTCTACTCTGCACTTCAGATATAAGCAGGTCAAAGCACATGCTCCCCAACAAAAGTTTCCAGGGCCATGCTGCAGATATTGGGGGTGCGCATGCATCTTGGAGGAACAAGTTGCAGATTTTGAGCGCTAAGTAATCACGGAAGCCATGAGCAGAACTTGCATTCGGCTCGGAGGGCTGCAATGCATTAGAGATCGGTATTGCTTAACGCAAAGTGTGAGTCATCCTCAACATGGCTAAGGCACTTGGCAGGACTTTTCAACCTGTTGCCCTGCCACAGAGTAGTTTGAGCCGTTCACTTCTGGTCTCTGGCATGATCTGCCAGCATCATGAATAGGTCCCCATAGAGGCTTCAAGCAAGAACATAGATCACACCTCAATGCGCTCCACAGCTATAATCTTCTGGCAGAGTGGCCCGCCTTCAAGTGACAACCGCAATCTTCATGAGTCGGCCGTTTCACACCGTTCACCCTGCATGTTGATGGTGGGCTCGCAACACTGGAGTGCAGGTCAGAAACGGAGCTCGCAATTCGTGGTTCAGAGCAGTCAACTTGATCAATTGCTCACCGACTACAAAGAACTTTTGGCATAATCCGTGTATGACGCAAAGATACACCTAGAATCTGGAAATCTGCAACAGCTTGGCCGTTTGTTGAGGCAGATGGCAAGCTTCAGGTCCCGCGCTTTTCGCTCAACCTGTACACCTCGTGGTTTTGCACAGTCTTGGCATCATGACCATGGCCACGGGTTCTTGGAACATCAACGGCTCGATCTTGCATGTCTGCAGCAGGGGCCGAGAGTTGTTTGAATTCACCAACATAAGTAGTTAGAAGCACCTCATGTTCCATGGTGCATGCAGCTTCCTTGTCAACCGGCCCTTAGCGTCAACTGAGCCTCAGGCCTTCATTTGCAGGCAAGATGCCGAGATATGCCAAGCAGCTAGCATGGAAACTGAACAAAAGGTGAAGATGGCGAGGGCAATCAAGCCCAACTGACAGCTTAGCCCAACATCCCCCAAACTGTCTCCTAACTCCTCAAGAAACGTGGCCATGCCTGGTGCGACAGCCGTGCTTTTGCAGGGCGAGGACATGCGATTTTTAAAAAGTCCAGCAGATTCGACGGGTTCTCTCCGCCCGTTTTGCAACAGACTTTGGCAGCTAGGTCTTAGCAGACTGAAATGACGCGTTGCCGTGCAGTGTTGCAGGTCCTGCCCATATGAATGACACGCTTAATTGCCGCGGCTGAAGGATCATTGGTGGCCCGGAAGCCTTGACAGCTCCGGCTACTTGTGCTCGGGTGGCGAGCTCGGCTTATTGGATGCCACGGCTAGCCCCTCATAATTCTTTATTTGCGAACAGGTTTGAGACGTCAAATGCAGCTCCTGGTACCTAGAGGCATGTCACATCCACTCTGACGTTTTCCAGCTCTTGCTGGAGGTTCTGAACAACAGCACTGCTGCGCCTGGCTCTCACAGGTGGACGCGGGCGGCAATGGAGCCGATTCTTCAGCCAAGCGCTCAGCTATGTTGTTTGATCCTTGATATCTTCTGCAGGGCTCTTGGTCTCTTTGCATTTGTTTTGTTGAGAATGATCCGGGCAATTCGCCACATGGTCGTTTCAGGAGGTGTTAAGATGTAATTAAGCAGGACATACGCATGACTTTCGAAAGAGGTGAAGTCGGAGCTTGAAACCTAGCTGAGGCAGTTTCGCTGACAGCCATGCAGATCCCAAGGATGCACCTGCAACTTCGGGGAAAGGCCCAAAGCGCAGTGGAATGGGAGGGCGGGTTTGAGCCACTGCTTCTACGGACTTGATGCTGGGACCTTAACACACCCTGCCACACAGCCGTCCATGGAATTTGTTACCGCAGCTTGACGTATTTCTTTTACCAAGTGCTGGAAGGTATTTAGCTAACAGGATGTCGCCGCAAAGCCATCACACTGCTCTTCCGGACGCGGGGTAGCTGTTTGCTTGTACGGGCATCGCAGATACCAGCGTTGTGGTTTCACAATGTTTTCAGTCCTTTGAAAACGGTTATTTGCGGTGATGTTTGCACGAGAGTATCCGCGCTCACAGCCCTTTCGGCCCAGAGAAGAGCACTCAGTGGCGGCAGAGGACCTGCACCAAGCTACGCGGTCGACATGGCGTCCCTTCGTCTTAGTTTAAGCTTGGGGTTGGGCCTCTAGCCAGTTGAATTTTGACGGGACTAGGTCGATATGTCCTTTCTGTCGGTGTCAGCCTGGCCCAGGATGGCAACGCGACGCCTCCCTGTTAGCACCCGGTCCCTGCACCGGGCGCCTTGGTCAAGATTTATCGAGCCCGGGTTCTGTCCCAGCTCCCAAGACTACTTATAGGTTGCGGCTAAGATCAGTGGCTTTCATCGTTTTGCTTTCTACAGAAATGGCGAGATCGCAATCTCTCTGGGGCGGGAGTCTGCAACTCCGCTTGTGAATTCCAGCGAGCGTCTGCCCACCAGACAAACTGCAGGCCTACCCTTCCCAATAAATGAATCACATGAATGCTCATGTCACTTTCTGCATCGCACTGCTCTGTTGACATCGCCTACTGGTACAGCTTGCATGTGCTTCTTGGCCACTTACATGCTCAAAACTGCTGCAGCTGTGTGCCGTTCTCCTCATGCTACATGTTCAGTTGGCCCTTTCCCTTGCCTTGTCTCCCTACAAGTCAACCTAACAGCTCCTCCACCATCTCCTTCTATTCTTAGTACACTGAATGATATCTGGTTCGCAGCAAATTCTTCCCGATTCTGTCCTTTCGCATTAGCTGCAAACGTGCAGATGCCTGGGGCCTTAACCACGCAACTACGCCACGCTTTCCTTCGCTTGGCTCTCCCTCAGGCCTTGGTGAAGCTCTACGGCAGCCGCACCTTCTCAACCCAAGAGCAGAGTGGATGCAGTAAGCACAGGTCGATTTTGACTTGAGGGTGTGCCGTGAGATTGGCGGCCCTGGAATTGGCAATGGGCACAGCGGTCCCGTTAACAGGCTTGACCCACCTTTGCACAGTGAGCTCCCTAATGTGAGGACGTTGAAGGCCTTCACAGTAGCTGGATCTGTGCATTACCTCTGAGACGTGTTTACGCCACTTGTGCTTTTTGACTTTTTTTGTGAAAGGATCTTCCTACCTACTGACGGCTTCTCTCAGCGCCACCTGGGTCCGCTGCCCAAGGTGCGCTCAGAGCAGTGCACTGCTTACCCAAGTAAACCGCAGCAGACTGCGCTGTCGGGCTTCATGCTGCCTGAACCGCAGGACGTGCAGGAGATGTGCAAGACTATTGGGGTGAAGGACGGCCATGATCAAGTCATGGTCAAGCAAGGCACTGCACCAAGAATCATTTTGAGCAAGTCTCTTCGGACATGCAAGGGTGACTCCAGCTCTAGTTATTCAGCAGCTTTTGATGGCAGATAGAAGCGTTGAGTGAGCAAGCGCCGCAGGATCTGAATGCCCTCATGGAGGAGGCGATCCCTGCTTCCGTGCGCCGCGAGCAGGACCTACGGGGTGCGCTTTGCGTCAATAGTGGCATCTAAGCTCCTCACCTGCAAGGTGGCATCTAAGCTCCGTGGATTGCAGGAGCTGGATCTCCCGGATGGCACGCTTGGCGAGTCTGGTGCGCTGGACCTGCTCAAGAAGATGCCTTCCGGTGGCAGAGAGTAGAGAGAGAGCCACACCCAGAACCAAGCACCATAGACCCTAAACTGGGCAGTAAGCATGGAAGTCCTTGCGCAGGCTGAGCAAGAACGTGGTGGCTAAGAATTACATCGGCATGGGCTATCACGGCTCTCACCTGCCAGGCCAGAAGCATTTGAAATTGCTTGTGCGTAAGTCATGACATTTGTTAGCCGACGGATCTTTTTTTGTCTGCACGCGGGTTTCCCTGAAGTCGGGGTGTGCCGCAGATTGCGGGTATGGACCCAGATGTGAAATTCAAGGGCGCAAGCGTGCTGCTTGTCAAATGAGCCTCGTTTGCGGCTGCGATGACGCTTGCGCTGAGGGGCGGCCTTCCAAGCGCTCCGGTTAAGCTTGAGCGCTTATTGTGTGAGTTTGATTTCAAGCCCAGCTCCCTGTTTCGCCGTGAATGAAGCTTTTGTGTTTACCGTGGGTGTTGCTGAGGTCGCCATTGGGCTCAGATCATTTCAATCCGTTTCTTGTGGCGTAGCACCTGCGGGCATGTGCGGACTAACATGTGCATCACGAACTGCAGCATTCAGCGTCTTGTCCCCTGAAAGCTTGTGTAGCCTCCTCCTCTTGCTCTCGTCGATTATGGCCATATACACTGCCTCCTCCATTACCGTCGAGCGTCCGCAACCCCAGCGAACACTTCGGCATCGATTAATGGAGGAAGTTCCTTTGGTGCCTCATGCGCGAACATGTTTACATGGCTCACGGAACGCAGTTTGCAACAAAACCTAACATATACCACGCCTGCATGCACATGCTACGCCAGAAATAACAGGATCAGCACCAAGACACGCGGGATCCTCTCGCCAGGCAATTCATCACGCGAGGCCGAGCGTAGAGCATGTTTCCTGTAGCGCGGGCTCGACCTTTAGCAAGTTGTAAAACCAAAAAAAGCGCAATCCAGTGACCTTCTAACCACGAGCCCCAAATGTCGTGCGTGCCACGACACGATGCTCATCGGCATCATGATGACTCGCAAAGGCGGTAAGTGCAGAAACACATTTGGTTTTCTGATGGCCCCTTCATTTAAGATGACAGCTTGCATCTTCAGAGCTTGAGAAGTAGGTTCTGCAGTGGGCCTTTTGTCTCTGCTTGGGTTGTGCTGCCCATGAACTCTTGCAGCTCCGGGTCATGCCATCTTTGCATAGTGGGGGTTTTGGCGTCGCTCGTGCAGCTGTCATGCACTGTCGCGGATTTGCGTGGTTCTGCGTTGTCTCACCTGGAGCTCCTGTCCTTGGATGTACTGAGCAGCGCCGCGTGACTTTTCAGAAGTTAGCCTGGGAGCTGGATATGCCGGGGAATTGGTACATTTGCGTGCAACAACTTCACATGTGCCATACGCTCGCAGCGGCCCACCATCAGTTTTGCCAAAGCCGCGTGTTCCCGTTTCTAGCCCGTTTTGCCCGGCTCTATTGGTTGCTGTTGGGGTGGGACTCGGTTGGGTCTCCAGCCCTGCAACTTGTGATGCAAGCTAGCAAAAAGGAGGTGCAAGAGTAGCCGGAAAGCCGGCAGGGCCGAGAAATGGGATCCCATCGTCGTTGCCGTTCGCTATTGGAAAAAATCGCTGCCGCTGCCATAGCCGACGGGGGAAAGGGACATTTACCTGACTCACCGCTACGCGTCTTCCAGCCCAACATCATAGCCAGGAACTGGGGGTAGATCGGACCCGTGCTGCAAGAGAAAACTTCGACAGACCTGCGTCGTGAGTGCCCCGCAGGGAAAGAAGGGAGCCACGCTTATCGAGGCTGATTCTGATGAGGGCATTGACCAGAGTGGGAAATTTGTTCCAGCGTGGAGGCTCGCCCGGGTCTCCTAGCAAGAAAGCGAGGGGGACGGAACCTGCGCTGGGAATCACGGTCGACGACCGGGAAGGCTGGACGATGTGGAGAGTCATGTGGCCAGCAAGCTGGACCATGCCCTGGACACGGTCAAGACCCTGAACCAAAGGCAACAGAAGCAAGGAGAAGATAGCCGTTACCTCAAGGCAGCGATGGAAGATCGAGACCGGAAAAGCGGAGAACAGGAGACAAAGCGTGCTGGCCCGAATTGAGGCCTGGAAAACAAGGGGAGATGCTGCTGTGTGGAACCCAGCAGATACAGCGGGAACCATGGTTGACAGAAGCCCGGCCCTCATAATTGGTGGATGGGCAGAGGACCAAGAGGCGGAGCAAACGCTCCAGCTCACCAAGGAGATGTTCGTGCCGGCAGTAAGCTGCCTGCGAAGCCCGGGGCAAGCCTCAAATTCCGCTACCAGCAGCTCATGGGAACCATCAACATGGTCAGGAACCTTCGAGAGGAAACCGGGGCAATAGATATCGCCATCTCGGAGCCGCCAGAGCAGAGAAACAGGAGCCGAGTTGCCGGGAAAGCCAAACGACTTCTGATGGAACTCAAGGAAAAGCCCAAAGTCGTTGGCGGTCCAGAAGCAAATAGGAGACACTGAAGAGGCGGGAACAGTGGGGCCAGCTACAGGAGCCACACACAATGCAAACTTGGTGTTGTCAGTTTTCACCTTCCACCAAAGGCAACCCTTTCAGAAGCGGGTGGCTTCCTAACGAGTTGGGAGAAGCTAGCGGCAGCAAGAGAGCCCAAAGCCATCATCATGGAGGATGCAAATGAGTGTTTCCGGAGGTCAGAAATGCAAGGAGGAGAGCCGCGCAATACATGACAGTCCGAGGATCGATGTTGCTGGAATGGATGGGGGACAACGGCTTTTCCATGCCAGACCGCCCCGCCCCAAGCTACTTCCCCCGCAACCAGAGATACAGGCCAGGCGACTGGATTATGTGTGGACAAAAAAACCTCCGTCGCACAGATTCGGGTAGCGTACAGCCTGCCAGACGCGTGGCGATTAGCGACGTCTTGGTGGAGGCAAGCCCGGACACAGCAGAAAGCAAAGATGGGAGCCATGGACCCAGGCAACTCAAGGGACCGCAACAACTTGAGCACGCCCCTAGAAGACCTTGTCAATGTCAGCTTTGTCATAATTGAACCAGACGAAATGGATGCACTTGTCGGGAGTCTGCCAAGCTGCGACAGATGAGAAGACAAGCCAAGCAACCGGGGAGAGGGGCAGAAGCCAAGGAGATGTGGAAAGCAATCTGGAAGCACAAAAAAAAGAACAGAGTGGGAAAAAGAAACACTGCAGCGTGTTCTTCAAGGAAATTGGGAAGCACTCAGAGCAAGCAAGACACCCCGGGTCACCAGGCAGTGGACAGGCAAGCTTCTGGAAGATGGAAGATGGAAGAATACGATGAAGCAGCATTTTGAGGGCATCTTCGCCAGTGATCCTTGCAAGCAATGTGGGAAGAGGAGACTAGAAGATGCAAAGCTCAGCCGTGGGAACGTTTCCAGACAGAGGAGCTTCAGCTGGCCATGGAACATTGGAAAAGAGGGAAGGCAATAGGACCAGACAGGGCGAGCTAAGAGGAGGTGCAAAGACTGAGACAAGACCTGTCGTGGGTCCACAGTGCTGCAGAGGAGATGTCAGATTGGCTGTGCAAGGGAAATGTCCTAACGCATTACACACGGGGGGATACAAGGCCACTCACTGTCGACCGCATTTATGAAATTGGTATCTCCTGGGAAGAGCTGGGGACAAGCTGGCGCAGGGCCTGCCCTGGCAATTTGCGGGCCTGGGATGGTTTGGGAAGCAAAAATGGACGTTGCCGATTCACATCGTAAAGCTCAATGTGACAAAAAAGCCTTCGCTTCGACAGTATACATCAGGAAACGGTGTGGCAGGATCATACAAGAGAGGGTGGGGAATGCAAACAAACCCTGGGAATCGAGGTTGTGGCTGCATGTCATACAGAAATCAATCAGGATTCTTGTGATGTCCGCCAGACGAATGGAGTCGGGCAGGGAAGTCCGGACTCTCCAGTACTTTTTGCAACAGCTGTCGGGGAGTCCATGAACAGCGTACTCGAGGGACAACCTGCGCGAGTGGTCACGCTGCGCAGAAAAACAGAGAAAGAAGTCAGCCAGCGCGTGGATGGTGGCCCACACTTCCCCTATAATGGGGGGGGCGTTTCAAGACGACGTTTACATCTGGGCGCATTCCAGATCACTCTTACAACTTCCAGTGCGCGCGAAGAGGGGTCGCTGCAACAAAGGTCTGGGAACTCACCCGGGGAAGACAAAATATTATATGTCTACATCGATGAAGGGGACGAGAAGTTGAAATCAAAGGGGTGCGTCAAGGCACCCTTACAGTGCTGGAAACCCCCTTTTAGAGGAAGACCAGGAGGGCGGGGAGATAGGGGAACAGGCCAGGAGGGGTTGCTAAAGTTTGAAGGTGCGTGGTGGCGCAAAATCCAACGCCGCCAGCAAGTCTCGGTTGAGCAGGAGCTGGCCTAGCCGTTCTTGGGCGTTGATCCCGCTCTTCGGGGCAGTGGACTTCGCCGGGGTCGAACGAGCAGCTGTAGTTGTGCAACTCGCGCGGTTGCCAGTAGAGCGAGGGGGAGATGGGTCATAAGCCCTCGCGCGTGCCACCCCTGAAAGTTGTTACGGCAGGGGTGTTGTGTGGGGAAGATGTGCAATGGGGGAGCAGTACGTGTCACAGCAAGCTGGAGAAGGGGAGAAACATATAGGGAGCCCCAAAGCCGTGTGCTGGGGATATTGCTGTTGACTTTCTCTATGTGCAGTGTCCCGGGCCTCGCTTGTACCGACTGACGCTACCGAACCTGTGCGCGGCTTCAAGGCGTAGCCCTGGCTCACTCATCTGGGAGTGGGCAGAGCCAGTAGAAGAAAAACAAAAGAGAGAGAACAGACCATCATACATTTCCTCTTTGTTATCCTAACAACCATCTTTGACGGAGCCAAGCACGCAGCCACCTTAGCCATGACCGAGTCGAGCAAGGGAATCAGCGCAGCCATCGCAGTCAAGTGCACTACAAGCGCAACCAGTTGACGCAGGGCACGCGTACGCCGTCGCGCCACGCAACAGTGGAGACCCAGAGCCCTGCAGCAGAGCGGATTGCGCTGAGTGAAAGCCATGAAGAAGAGGAGGTGAAGGAAGCAGGTGCTCTGGGAGACCCGGACTTGACCTCGTGTGTGCAAAAGGGGAACAAGGAAAACTGGGTTAACTGCGAGTAGCTGCCAGAGAACGCCT